TTTCCCTGAAGTAGTTAACAGGACAGATAGGTGGCACATAAAGCTTCTGTTTTCTGGAAAACTCCAGCTCAAGGAAAAGACCACTGCTTGTTACCAAGAGTATCTACGGCAGCTCTGACACGGAACCCTAACAACAGTACTACCAGCCAGACAGCCCGGAAAATGTACACACCGAGTACTGTGCGTCCTTGAAATAATATTTACTGTTTATTTGTTCCTTAGCCAGGAGGGATGCACATACATTTTCTGCTTGTTAGGAGACTGCAGAACCAGACCAAAGAGCTATCCCTGGGCATGAATTTTAAACTAGGTACTAGGTATACAGCTCAGGATGGTTAACATGACTTTGAATTCACATAAGCTCTCTTCTCTCCACACCTGTTACTTGATGAGCTGCATCAGCTTACTAAGCCATGTACAAGATGACACGCAGGGCATTTGCAGCCTTGGTCTCTGATCCTACAAGAAATTCCATGTGGGCAGATGCCTGACTCCTTGCCCAGCCTTACTGAGGCTGAAAAGATCTACATGGGTATTTGCATCCATTTGTGCAGGACCAAAATCAGTCACTGTGTATGACTCCTGGCATGACTAATTACAACTCAAATAGATTGATAACCTGCATTGATTCAGTAGCAGGCGAGGAACATCGGGGATGAACTAAGCTATGTAAGAAGTAATTCCTCACCTGTCCCCTGTGCTAGAACCACCTTTTTCTCAAACAAAATAACCATTTCCACTCTGTCCACAGACCTTCCCTGTGCAAAGGGCAGAACAAAGCCTATTTGTAGGAGCCCTGTGCTTTTAGAATTTAAGGGCACAGAAAAACATTAGATCATCTATTCTGATCTTCTCTGTATTGCAAGCATTTCACCTTTGTAACTTGAACCGAAATCAGTAATTTACTTTTGATTGAAGTTGAGCGTGTTCAGCTGAAGGCTACCTTCCAGGATAGCACTGAGCTTTGAACTCAAAACATCAAAAAATACAAAATCCACTAATTCTCTTCCTAGTCTGCCCTAGTAATTAATCACCGTGGTATTAAATATTGGCACCTAGTTTCCCATATGAATTTATCAGGATTCCGCTTTTAACCATGCATCCTCTCCCTGCTTAATTTAAAGGTCTTTTAGATGATACAGTTCTCCTCCCCCCATAAAATCCACTTATTTGCTTAATCCACTCACCTTCTTTTCGATAACTTAAATAAACAGAAATGTTCAAGTTTCTTATTGTATGGCATTTTCTCCAGGTGCCTATTATTTATAGGTTTTTTCACCCTTTCCAATTTTTCAAAACACCATTTAAAAATATGAATGTGAGAACTGACTGCAGTATTCTAGTGTCAGTCTCAGCAATGCCGCATACAGGCACAAAATCATGTTCCAGCTTCTAATCACTACTCCCCAGCTTAGATATTCAACGATGACATTAACCCTTCTGACCTGATGCTGCAATAGGAACTTACATTCAGTTGCTTGTACCCTAAATCCTATTTAGAGTCTCATTTTGGGAATCCGACTCTCTGCTTTTGCAAGAGCAAGTCTGCATTCATCTTTTTTTGTGCACAATTTTGCATTTAAATATGAAAATGTGCTCCTTTTAATGGCCCCAGCTTACCAAGAAATCCAGGCTTCTCTCATATGCTTGCTCTATCCTCATTATTACCCTGCTCCACCCAACAAACATTATTAGCCTATTATTACGAGTCCCTATTTATGTTCAGATCATTAGTAAAGATATAAGGTGCCTAAACTCTGGTAATTCTGAAAGCAATTGTTCATCTCTCACTTAAACTCAGGAACATATAAACACTAAATACATCTCAGTTTTCAACAGTAAAATATCCCTTGTACTCAAAATTCCAGCGTACTGGAGCACTGTTGGTTAATTACAGTAAAAGGCATGTGTTTTGGAAATGATCTTTTTAAAAAATGATTAGGACAATACAGTTTTAACTAGTACCCAGTACTACTATGCTCAAATTTTAGATCACAAAAAACCTTTAAAACAAAGATCTTCTAATAAATCAAATATCAAACAACATACCAAATGATTTGTCTTTTTTCCTGGGTGCTACTGAATGAGTCTGATTCCAAATCAAACAACTCAGTTGACATCTAACTTGAGCACACCTCGCAAGCAAAGGGTGGGTTTAACTGCACGTGAGGTACTCAGTCAAATGCAGGGGTCACTCTGGAGTTGCTGGACCCATTTTCCATCAGTCTGTTTTTTACTTTCAATGCTACAAAACAGTAAATGCCTCCTGTCAGGTAATGACCACTCTCTTTTCTGCTAGTGGCAGTGAGCCATGAGCCATTCAGAACCCAGGTGACGGCACACGAGAAGGGTTCTGCTTCCAGGAGAGCTTAGCCTTCAGCTGCGAAGCAGAACTTGATGGGGTGAAGGACTCTCTTAGTAGCTGAAGTTCACAATCGCATTTAATGACCATGGGGCTGGAAAATAAGCCCAAATATTTAGTGTCAAGCTTGGATTTGAGTAAAACTAAAGAGGCCATGAACTCTTCAAAAAGTCCCCACCTCCCCAAATCCCTTCGATTGCATTTCAGCACATAGTTGATGAAAACGTGAATGTCCTCCGCTATGGATCTTTAGATGAGTTCTCATTGGCCTACATATAGCTAATCCTAGGAAACTGAACTGCTTGCACAAATAAGGGACTAAGCCCTTAGGAAATTTGTTGAACTAAAGAATAAACAAAATATCCACAAGACTTGATTTTCAAGGGCATAAGGCATCCACAGCTTACACTTGAGAATACTAAGCACATCTGAAAATTGGGACATTTGCTTTGTTTCTGCTGTTAAATTGCTGCCTCAGCTTCCCTGCCCTTTACCTCACCTATAGCATCAAAATATTTTAGATGTTTTTTTTACAGTGGGGTACTGAGAGTTCATTTGAAGTGGTATGTTAAAGTACCTTCAAGGAAAACTGATGTGTTAGCTCTTAACCTAACTTCAAAACACTAAGCCTCAAGCAAGGCTGATTTTTATACCCACAATAGCTAGTTTATCATCTGGTTAGAGATGTCAGAAAACAAATCTGTTGGGTAAAGCTGTCTGCTGGTGTGAACTGGCAAGGCTGTGCTGGCAAGGCAGAGTTTGGCTCAAGCTTCCCTCAATATTAAGTGACATAATGCTTTCTGTGCTCTACCCCGGCCAGCGCTCCACATCATAAATACTGAATGCAATACCTGCATGATTGCTGGAGTGACTTTGACCGTCACCTTCCCTAAGGAGACAATAACGCAAAACATGCTTTACTCTGAGAAAAGCTGCACTCACCCGATCTTCTTCTTCTCTGACATCTGGCATGGTGCTGATGCAGAGGCTGACTGCAGTGATGGCAACAAAAGAGATTGAAATACAAGCAAAGATCTTTCCTGGGATCCCTGAGTGGGGGTTCTCCACCATATCCCTGAGCTTTCGCATGCACAAACCCAATCGGCTATCGTCCTGGAAGGCACATTGCGTAGTTTCACTAAATACCATCTCCCCTTCATACAGCCTGGCCTCAGCTGCCTCCTCCTCTTTCTGTCGCAATCTCTTTTTACAGCACCACTCCAGGTGGTCCTCTTCTATCCCCCAGTACACAAGCTCCTCCTGAAAAGAAAGAGCGCACATCTCCCTGAGAAGCCTCAGCTTCCCAGCTGTCAAGAAAGTCATGATCGTCCTGAAGGCACTAGGATTACGGTCAAAAAAAAATTCATTGCAGTTAACATCATAATCATCGCAGATGTTCATGATCTCATCGTAATTGTTGCAAGATTTTAGCTTCCCAAGCCTGGTCAAGGGGCAGTTCTCCAAGGTGGTCCATGGGACTTTGTACTTAATACCACCTACGTTGATGATCACAAACCTGGTCCGGTCATCCAGGCGGGCTAAGCAGCACAAGTCTTCCCCAGGGTGCAGAAGTTTGGCCTTTTTGTAGTAGAATCCTTTCTTGGTTTGCACTTCACACAGGTTTTCCAAGTTATTGAAGGAGTAGGAGCTGAACTCAGGATCTGCATTCCCAGTGAGCAATGCCATTTCATGATACATTTGTCGAGTCCATAGGGAGGTTGAGGCTACTCAGACAAACACATCTGGAGCTTGACTGGAGAGTCAATCTGTAAAAGAGAATTTTAAAATTACAATAAAATGAGGGCATTGCTAGATGAAAAACAATCCTACCCTCTCAATCCCGAGAAACTTTTCTCCATGGCATTATTTTCCCCCCTATTATTTTAGGACTATCTGTGCTCGATAACCACTTGGGGAAAGAAATTAAACTGTAGTAGGGTCAGAAGCCATGTTGATACTTCTAGAGGGTTTAGTCTGTGCATGAATGGAAACAAAACCAGTGTATTATCATTTTCAGAAATTTCTTTTCTAGAGGTTTGAGTTAGAAACATCAATGGATACTGGACATCAATGGATACTGGAAAGGAAAATGGGTCTTTTGGATAAATGGCAATTTAGATTTTATCAACTTAATACAGATACTTAGTTGTAATTGGGTTTTTGATTGTTTTGGCCCATCTACATAACGTTTCTATTATAAAATACCTATAGTGTGAGGATAAAATGGATACCTACAGTACAGTCAGAAATGTGATTTCAGAAATGCCGGTAATTCCCAATTTAAATTCACCAAGCTTAGGTACCAATAGCAATGAAGAGAGAATCCAGTCTGCAGCCAGCATCCCAGCAGGTTTAGGTGCCTGAGCACAAAGTGTGTGCTACCAAGATTCACTTGCCGCTGGTACCCTGACCAACTGGATTAAGGCTATATTGGGCATATCTACCTGAACAGCCCCACTGCTAAATGGTAGAAAAGCTTTTGTTCTCATGCTGCGGTGCCTGCTGTCCAGGCTAGTGACATCTCCTGCAGGGAGGTGCGCATCTTGGGTCTGAGCGGAGTCCAGAGCTTGTCCGGGACCCCGGAGCTGGTGAAGGCTCTGCCGTGGTTTTGGCTGCAGGAAGCAGACAGGGTGCCCAGCAGCCTGGCAGCAGCTCTGAAATGGGAGACTGAACCTAAGAACAAAGCAGAGCTGGGAGTGACCTACTTGCTGCTCTTCTGGGCAATGCAGAACCCAACCAGTCACATAATGCACATTGTGCATAATTCCAGGATTTAATTTGTGCCTTCTGCCTACCCCTCCTTTACCACACCACAATCCACAGATCTCCTGAACACGTTTTTTACCTGCCACATCACTTCCTCACTTTCTCTAGGGCTCTCCACCCAGGTTCTCCAAAACTGTCTCTCTGAAGCAGTACGAGGATGTCTTGAAATGCTACTATGTAATTGCACTAGTGTATCACCCAAAACTTCTGAATTGCTCAAGTATGAAACAGGAAACAGGAAATCAGCATAGGACTGCTGGGACTCCACACAGAAGACCTGGACTGAGAATGGATGCCGTGACGGGGAACAATCTTAAGTAGGGGATGTAGAAACCTTACAAGTTGACAAAAGGAGAAAAAGCTGAGTTGTGAAGGGTAGTCCGACATTACTGATGACACGACAGTAACTACGAGGCAGTAACTCCATAATTTACAATCAACATTCTCCAATTCCCTTTTAATCTCAGGCCTCAGCCTGGAGAGAACACCGAACAAGTCTGTGCCAGGAAAAACTGGATAGCACACACATTCAAACAAATTCACAGATCAACATCTTCCTTTATCTGTAATCAACTCACTAACTCTTAACTCATTAGACTTAGTCCAAACAATCTCCAACAGAAAGTGGCAAATACTTGCTACTCACAGCCCTGAGTCACCCTCTAGGTATTCTTACCAACCACGCTCAAACAACAGAATCACAGCAATAGCAGTGGTACTTCTGCTTCAATATTTCTGTGAGGATCCAGCCACTGAATTTTAGAAAGGCATTAATGTTGGATGTTTGTAAAAAGTCAGAGAAAGGCTGGTTTACATACAAAAAACCTAAAGTTACCTAAAGATATTTTTCGCCACTGTGAAAATTTCAAAAGAACTAATGACGCCAAAATCTTTCTAATTTCAATTTGGGCAAAATAATTGTTTAAACATCCGTTTATGTGGGGCCACATGAACAACAGAGAAAAGCTCCTTCACCTGGCTAAGGCCCAGTAAAGGGTAAGAGGCAGCAACGTGCGTTCTGAGAAATGGGTGCTTTTACAGCACAGGCTTGAGTGCAGCTGGGATTGCAAATACCATTACTGTCACAACAAAAGCGCACTGTCAGCACGGCATATGCTTTAAGGATTTAGTTTCTTGTTGCTTTTTGTTGGTAAGATAAAATATTCACTGCCACTACTCAGGGCACTGTGCTTTTGTTTTCATGCCTCACTTGTTATACAAGTCAACATACAAAAAGTAGTTTACATTGTTTTGACATCAAGGCCAGGATTTGCTTTTCCCCTCTCCCCTGTGTAGCAGGTTGCTGCATAAAGGGGTCGGATACATTTCACAGAATTATTTTGAATCTCATCTTGCATGCACTTCTTCCTTCTTCCAAGAAGCAACTAACTCCATGTGAAAATCGGTAAGCATGTTATTTATTACAAAATCTCTGAATTACAGAGGGTTAGTCTTTTACTTTGTAGATATAAAATTATGTTGATTAAATGTAAAGCTTAAGGAAACAACTATTCCTTTTTTTTTGTATCATCAGTGGATAAATAGAAAGTAATAACAGAAGTAGTTACAGATAGTATTGCCTGTGGTTTAACAGGTTGATTCTGGACAGTAGTGTAGCATCAGATGCTGGAGTTTAGTCACCGAAGTGAATTTTCTGACCTCACACTTCAAGATCCCAGAATTCATAATAGTACTTATTATTAGTTGGTAGCATTTGTTTTGGAAATCTCAGCTAAAAACATAAGCATGTGAAGAGAATTATACATATTATTCTCTTTGGCACCCCTGTCAGGTGGTTGCCCTAGACCAGGGCTCAGATGTCAATGAAACAGCATGGCAAAGCTTGTTGGGCCACTTTAACTGTCCTACAGAAAAGCAGAATACATCACTGTGGGCTCCCAATTTGGCATCTATCCTGAGAAGTAAAATAAGCCTGGAAGGTCTGTTTCTGATCTTATGTGCATGGAATGTATCATGACCTTCACTGAATATTAAAGGATGTTTCAAAATTATGTGGGTCTTAAAATACTCTCTGCATGCCAAGGTTATCTAATGTATGCACATGCCTACAGTAAAGCATCCTATTGAAGATTAACTTTAAAAGCCAATATTTCCAGAAATGATACTACATTATCATCCAGTTGGCATTTCTACCATTTAATCTGACACATGGGTGCAAGAAAGACTATTAAAACACAGTCTGCAATAAGCTGCCCACTGCAGGGACACAGGACAGAATTTGACTCTATATTTGTTCATCATTTTAAAACGCTGTGGGAGAAATGCTGTATAAATGTTTCAGTTTGATGATCATACACAGGGTGGGTCATACATATTGTGGATTCTTTTCTTTTTTAAGCAGAGTCAAACAATTTTTATTCACTAAGAAGTACTTTGGCTGTCTATGTATGCATGTGTGTGCGTCTACACACACACGCAACCATGTTCAGCTAAACTCTGTCAACAGCAGACAGTTGAGACCTTTAAAATACAGGTATACTGAACATGAGGAAAAACTTCTTTACTTTGAGGATGACAGAGCACTAGAACAGGCTGCCCAGAGAGGTCGTGGAGTCTCCTCCTCTGGAGATGTTCAAAATCCGCCTGGATGTATCCCTGTCTAACCTGCTGTAGGTGACCCTGCTGTGGCAGAGGGTTGGACTAGATAACCTCTGAAGGTCCCTTCTAACCCCCACCATTCTGTGATTCCTCATCAAAGACTTTAAAGATTAAATAAATACCAGAAACATACAATTGCTTCATATTCTCCTTTTTGTTGAATTATTTTCTCAATGGAGAAGGAGCTATTTTCCTACTTACTGCCTGTTCACCTTGCCTGCTCCCGCCACCTGCTCCCACCTCACGGCATTCTTCATTATCCCGTTTTATCAGTATTGTTGCATCTAATTCATGTATGTCCTGCATGTGGCTCCACTGGTCTCAGGTTGCCTTGAATAAAAATGAAAAATTGGGCAAAAGCGTCCCTGCCAACAAGCTGGCCAGCCTGGTGAGGAGAGCTTTAAAATAGTGACGATGGGGAGGAAGCGGTGGAGCAAAGGGTGCTGGGTGACATGGCCAGGAGAGACCTCATGATCAGTACAGGGCTGAAAGGTGATCACATCAAGTGTATGCACATAAATGAGGGTATGCCCACATAAATGAGGGTATACAGAGAGTGTCATGGGCAGAGCACTCATACATTTTCTAGGAAATCATCATGACTAGGTGCCTCTGAAGTGCCTGCACACTCATGCATGCAGCCAGGGAAGCAAACAGGAAGAATTCAGAGGTCTGTGTGCAGTTCCATAGAAGAAACTGGTACTATCAGAGGTCAGAAGATTTTATGGGGAAAAAAACACTGGAACAGGATGACAAGAGAGGTCGTGGAATCTCCATCCTTGGGGACATTCAAAACCCATCTGGACACAGTCCTGAGTAACTTGCCCTAGCTGATGCTGCTTTGAGCAGTGAGGGTTAAACTAGACGAACTTCCAACATCCTTTCGTACCTCATCTACTCCATGATTTTGAGAGCAGTCTCTTTTTAACTGCTGCTGTGAGTTACAAAGTACTGAAGGTTTACACTTGTACTATGGTAGCAAGAGGAAGCCATAAGGCTTTTCAGTAATTAATGTTTTAGGATTTTCCTTGTGAAATGAAACACATTTTGACAGAGACTAGGTTATTGTGTCATAATTTAAAGCCACAGACATGAAACATAGATTAGGGTGACCGCAAGATGTTTTCTCTCAAGTCCAATGAGAGTTGAGTCAGTGAATCCATTCTGCAGTGCTCAGCCTTTTCCGCTCAGAGACATGCTGGAACCTGACATTGCTGCCTTGGACCAAGCAATTCCCACTTCTTACTGTGACATGATCTATAATTTACAACGCACACATTTATTTTAATAGTAAAGCTTACACATGCAATTGACCACACATTTGGTGGTATTATAGCTAATGCTTTGGATGAAGAGGTTCAGGAGATCCAG